AAACTTCTGAGTAAACATTACAAATTGGGCTGTATATTATGAGAGCCAAATTTAAAAGATTCATCAGGAGCTCCCTAAATATGTCACATTATTTGATTCTGTTGTTGTTACATGCTGTCAAGTTGGAAATGACTTGTAATGATCCTAATAGGGTTTTCAAGGTGAGATGTTTACCAGTTCCACACCCCCAGTGAGTTTCCATGACTATGTGGGGATTTGAATTCAGGCCTCCTCAGTCCTAGTCCATTAGTCTATCCTCCACTGCCCTGGGCTTTGCACAGGCATAGACGATTCATTTTCTGAAACCAGTATCTGGGGTGAGGAAATACGACTGGTCCACACACCATCCCCAGAAGATTCGCAGGAGAGCCCCAGTATCATTTTAGTTTTCTTTCCTTCCTTTAGGGATTGTCTTTTAAGGGAGAAAGGAACAGAAACATAGGAAAATAGGAAGGAAAAAAAATATAGGAATGAAAGGAAATGGAAGGAAATGAGGGGAGGAATCAGGGGGGAAAGCATACGCACATACAGTAAAATAACAACAGTAATAATAAGGAACATTTTAAAGGCTGACACATAAACTTATGGGCTAAACAATGACAGTTTTACTTAGTGATACTTAACATATATGCAGTTATTATATCATCTTGCTTGGATGTTTCTCTCACATTGTAACACAAAGCATGATGGATGTGTCATGTTTTGATATTTGTGAGAATACTCCACTTCTGTTAACCCAGAAATGATTTTCCTCTCCATCTCCCCTTTCTTAATAAATAAACAGAGTAATCATTTTATCACAAGGATATCCTATGATGCTGCTAAGAAAAGTACACCAGAAACAACTTCTCATACCAATTGTTTATTTTGCACATTTGTTGATAGGAATGAAAAGTGTTTGTTTGTTTTTGGCCTAGTAAGAGCCAATTAGTCTGGAATTAAGTAAACTTAAGAATTTGCCTTCATTATGTTTGAAATGGTTCTCAGACTGTTCAAATCAGAACAAAACCAGAAAAGAACAAAGAAATAGAGAATATCTCACTTAAAACACATGTAATTGCTCCCTTGTTTACAGTTTACTTAGTATGTTGCTTAAATGTGTCTACATGTGTGCAAGCATATAGCTATGGTAGTGATAAATTCTGATTTATGATGAATTATGTAGCTGGTGAAGAAAGTGTTCATACATAATAGAGTTTACTTCCCAGGATTTTGTATGTTGATTCTAACATTCTGCTGGCTGAGTTTAGTATCCTATGTGAGCACACAGTTCAAAGATATGTACCTTGCCCTTGGGGAAAAGACGTGATGAGTCAACCTTCAGGGTGGTCTGTGACATATCTTCAGCTCCCAGAGTGTGTATGTCAGGCAGTATCAGCCTCCATGCAGTAGAAGTTCACATCTATACCTAAGGACGGCAAAGTCACAGGTTTGCATTAAATCATACAGAATTCCCACGCATGCACACTCAAATCCTCCATCGACAACAAGATTTCAGCTTCAGTTTTGAGTATCCCAAGCTTATCTCATATACCATCACCTTAGTTTCAAACAATTTTAAATCAGCATTTTTAATTGCAAACCATTAACAATGTGCCCACCTTCTTGGATATACATTTAAATGTGGCAAGGGGGGTTGAATGTACCAATGAAACTGAGAGCTATGCTATCAGGAGACTAGATTCCATTGCAAGCCTGGACTCCAAGCAGCTTCACCCAAGAAGGAATGGCCACACCTCAGACACCCAATTAAGTTGCATCCACCCTCTTCAAAGGTACTGCCCAATCAGCAGAAGAGAATGGATAATTCCAATGGTGATGGGGGTGGCAAGCACAGATCCATCTATGCTTTATAGACTACAGTAAAGCCTTTGAAGGGGAAGATATGGAGGCACTGACAGATTTTACTTTCTTGGGATCCAGGATCACTGTAGATGGTGACTTCAGCCACAAAATTAAAAGATGTCTGCTTCTTGGGGGGAAAGCTATGTCAAACCTAGACAGCATCTTTAAAAGTAGAGACATCACCTTGCCAACAAAGGTCCGCATACTCAAAGCTATTGTTTTTCCAGTAGCGATGTATGGAAGTGACAGTTGGACCATAAACAAGACTGACCACCAAAGAATTGATGCTTTTGAATTCTGGTGCTGGAGACAACTCTTGAGAGTCCCCTGGACTGAAAAGAGAACAAACCTATCCCTTCTGAAGGAAATCAACCCTGAGTGCTCACTGGAAGGACAGATCCTGAAGCTGAAGCTCCAATACTTTGGACATCTCATGAGAAGAGAATATTCCCTGGAAAAGACCCTGCTGTTGGGAAAATGTGAAGGCAAGAGGAGACGGGGACAACAGAGGATGAGATGGTTGGACAGTGTCATCTAAGTTACCAACATGAATTTGACCAAATCCCAGGAGGCAGTGGAAGATAGGAGGGCCTGGTGTGTGCTGGTCCATGGGGTCACGAAGAGTTGGACATTACTTAACGATTAAACAACAACAAAGCCTTTGTGTGGATCACAAGAGGCTAAGGCTTGTTCTGAAAGAAATGTGTGTGCCTCAGCACTGATGTTTAACCTGTATTGTGAACAAGAAGCTACCATTAGGACAGAATAGGTAAAGGTGTCAGACAAGGGTGCATTTTACCCCTTTTTATCTGTATGCTGAAAGCCGCATTTGATTCAAATGAAGAAGTGAAAACTGGTGGAAGAAACATCAACATAATTTAATGCAGACGACACCATTTTACTGGCAGAACGCAGCAATGACCTGAAATAACTTTTAGTGAATGTGAAAGAAGAAAGTGCCAAAGCAGGACTGCAGCTGAAGATTAAGAAGCCAAAAAAATCATGACTACAAAAGAACTAAACAGTTTTGCTGACAAAGAAGAAACTGAAATTGTTAATGATTTTGTATACCTTGGTTCAATCACCAATTCAAATGGAGACTGCAGCCAAAAAAATCAGAAGACTGAAACTCAGAAGGCCAGCAATGAAAAGATTATCAAGTGTAAGGATGTGTCACTGGAGGCCAAGACCAAGGTCATACACATTATTGCATTCATGATCACCACTTATGGATGTGAAAGCTAGACAGGAAAGAAAACTGAAAGGGAGAAACAATGATTTGTTTGAAATATGGTGCTGGATGAGAGTTTATTTATGAGCTCTGCAGATTCCCTGGGTTGCCAGAAAGACAAACAACTGAGTCCCAGATCAAACCAAGTCCCAGCTTTCTCTGGAGGCAAACATGATGAAACTTAGGCTGTCCAACTCTGGGCACATCATGAGAAGGCAGGTTACTCTGTAAAAGCTAATAATGCTGGGAAGGGTGGAAGCCAAGAAAAGAGGAAGACCAAATATGAGCTGAACTGACTTCCTAAAGGAAGCCACAGGCCTGCATTTATAAGAGCTGAGCAAAGTTGTTTTGGACAGGACATTTAGGAGATCTCTCATTCATAGGATTATCTTTCTTACATTGAATTGTTATATGCTATGCCTATAGCTATTTAAATTTTCCTAATGCTTAATTGGAGGGGGGTATAGAAGGAGGCTTGCTGAAAGGTGAGAAAAAAAGGTGAGTAGCTCACACATCTCATGGGCATGCAGCCGGCCAATCCTTTACTTCCAGAGGTGTTGCACTATAAATTTGCTGATGAGCAAAATAACACAAGTCTTTTTTTAGGACCACAAATGCCAATTACCTATTTCATATATGTCCATAATTTTACATTGTGCAAAACTCTGAAACAAATAAAGTATAATGCTTAATTTGTACAGTGTGAAGATTTTTATAGTGCTGTCCACAGAAGTGGATACGGTCTGTTATTTGATGATGGTTGTAGCGGGTACCCCAGTCAGCACCTGCCTGTCACAAGGGAACCTTGGCAGGAGAGCCAATGAGGAGGACCGAAGGCGGGAGCAGGAGAGAAGGGGGGTACAAAAGGAGGAGTCTTCAGGACAGAGGGAGTTCCATGTGAGAGTTCATAGGAAGGGTGAGATAGATAGGAGGAGTGTGAGACAGTGAGAGTAGAGTGAGAGGACAAACATAAAGATTGAGATCAGAGATTCAAAGGGTATTGATTGAGGTAGATTGAAATCAGAGATTGGGAAATATAGTGAAGTAATAGAAGGAGTTAAATACATACTTGTTTATCTAAGTGATTTGCTTCCTGTGATTGACTGTTATTTTCAACCAATCATTAATCACACTCTGATAAATAAACTTAATGTGTTTGTTAAATGGTGTGTCCTTGAATTGATTGATGTTTAAAACAAAACATCTGGTGGCAGTGTGAGGAAGATAGATGCAGCTTGCGTCTTTGTGAGGAACCAGAACATAATAAAGGTCTCAAAGACGGAGTAGCGTCACAATGATTTTTGGAGCTTCACATTAAAAAAAAATCTTGCCAGTTAAAGAGAATCTGTTTTAATTCTACCAGATCGGATTTCTACTGGGACAAGTGATCTCATTTCAACAGGTGCGTTTCTCCTTCGCATGGAGAATGAGACCAACTAACTGGGAAATTGTTCTCGATTTTAATCCTGTTTATTAGCTGAAACCACAGAAAATAATTAACAGTCTTTAATGAGAGGACGGGAAGCGGTAGTCCATGTAGCTGCCAAAAGTGTCCGCAAGAATGTTCCGAAGAGGCCAGGAGAAATTAGTTCGCATTTACCGTGAGGCCACTACGACGCAATTTGTGAAGGGGTATTAAAGTGGCAAATAAACCTAGGAAGGCGCGTAACTTCTTCCTTGCGGACATTTATAACGGTTGGGGTGGGGGGGAGAGAAAGACTGGTGGAAAGATCTCCTGGAGCAGCTTTTCAAAATCCCCCTAAAGAGACCACACTACTTAATCGTCCTTTTTTGATCTTGGACGACGAAGCACTGGGGAAAACGAAGGGCTCCCCGCTACCGTCCCCCTACGCGCTGCGTCAGCCTGTGAGGAAAAGCGGGAAGGGAGGTTTCCAGCGCCCTTTAATGCGTGCCTGCGTGTGAGCGGCACGTGAAGTTGTGAGGCGCGCCCGCGTTCCGGCCCCTTTCGGGTCCTTTGCCCCCGCCGCTACAGGGTGGGGCTCAAATCTTGTAGCCCGGCCTCCTGAGGCCAAGGGCTGCCACCCGCCGAAACTGGTGCCCTCCTCCCGCGAAAAGCCACACGGGCTCCTCTGAGGAGGACCAGGCGGCGGCGGCGGAGCAGCCACCTGTGGAAGTTCCCGCGGCAGGTCCTGCCCCTCCAGCCCGCCAGCCACCCACCCACGCGGGCATTGCTGAGCGGGGCGGGGACGAGGCGCAAAAGTAGCGGCGGCGCCTTTCGGAGGCGTTGCGTGGCTGCTGCTGGTGGTGCTACTTCTTCCTTCGCTAGACTTCCTTCGCTGCCGCAGCTGCTTCGAGCACCTCCGCCGCCGCCTCACGAGTCGGTCTTCGAAGTTTTGAAGGGGCGCTGTCGGAACAAGTGAGACTCGCGGAGCGCTTCCTTTTCCTTTTCTTTTCTTCTTCTTTTTGTAAGTCTTTCCCCCAAGCGGGAAAGGAGCACGCCAACGTCGCTGCGGACGGAGTGGAGAACCTCACGAGGGGTGGGTGGGTGAGAGGGAATGGACCGGCGCTCGTGAACTTTCCCGCGAGCTCCTGAGGGAGAGGAGGACGGAGACGAGCCGTACCAAGCAGTGGGACAGGATGGCTGCTCGAACCCAGTAGTGCCAATATGTAAGTTTCTCTGCTCAGCACTGATTACTGTTTCAGAAGGGGGGGGGAGCTCGTTATGCTTCCGTGACCAGCCCCCTCCCTTGCCTTGCTTGCCTTCTCTATTTTTTAGAAGTATTTTGCGCATGAGGATATCTCTGATGCCTTGCCAGACCTTGGGAACCCAATAAACCGGTTTGGCTTTCGTCTGTCATTTCCTTTCGCAGCATTTTCTGGCCAGAAAGACAAGATCACTGCCACCTCCATTTCCTTAATCTGGGGATGGTGACTGGTTTCTGAAGTTAAAGGTGGGCAGGATCAGAAGAAGCTTGTGGGCAGGTAAGAGAGAGAGAGAGAGACTGTTCACCAGCCTCATGAACTCAGATCTTGTCTTTGTTTGGCATTAACAGGGCAAATGATGGCATTTATTTGCTTTTGTTTCTTTTAATAGAATGGGGGGATTGTTTTCCTTTTAAAAAGAGACAATAAATTCACCTTGGAGATATAAATTAATAATCATGTTTTTATTTAGTATTAAGTACTAACAACATGTGTTGCACTGTGATTTGGCTGGAAGAGCACATGAGCTATTGAAATGCACATGTGGTTCATGTTAAACCTTGAATCTATCATTTGACCTTCCATACAGCTGAAGCATATCTCTGCAGAGACATGGTGTTAACGCAAAACTCAGTAAAAGTGTGAGTAAGATTCCAATCTGTAAAGGCACTGTTTCAAGACCAAAAAAAATGTTCTGCCAAAGAGCAAAAACGAAATAGAAGAGGGCAAGAGGTTCACAAAACAACTTGTTTGCACCTTCATCCTTTCCGTCTGTCTGTTGCACTGTCACAGATATTTATTTATGGGGAGAGAATGTCACAGATCTGGAAGACCGTGTTTTTGTTAACTTCTCCAGTGATCAAAATTGCCTGTTTTCCATTAGGATCTTACGTACACGCGTACACATTCACCCACAGTGCGCAAGTGAACTCATCCCCATTGGTGGTGGGCTGACACTTGTTAGATTCGTCAGCTTACTTTTGCAACCACCCATGAAAACAAGTATGTTGGGGAACAGAAAGTACTTTTAGGAACTCTGTTTTGAGCAAGAAGTAGAAGAATAGTGTCTATCACATTTAAATTCATTTTGTCGATGATGCCTAGAAGCACATTTTCCTGCGAGTAATTCCTTGCATGGTAGAGGCAGAATGTTGCCTTCCTCAGAGCAGAAATTTGAAATATCAGGAGACAGTTGAAACTGTTTGGTTTTAATTAACATATAAATGGCATGTGCGTATTTCTATGAGTACACTTATAGTACTAGATTCCCACCAGTAAAATTAATAAAATGTTTTCTCATCCAGCTGCTTTGGTAGATCAAAGCTGAAACTTGGTGCTAAGACATAATGTCACTTAAAACCCGTATTGTTATTTCAATTCACCTGCTGAATAAAAACTGCTTATGGATAGTAAAACACTATTACAAAGTGAAAAATGGATAGGTGGAATATAAGTAGGGATATAAGAGTGGCAGAAAATTGGATATGGTTGGGTTTACTGTGGTACCAGGGAGAGGTGGTATTTTGCTAAGGAGGTGTGGTACTAGAAAGAGAGATTAACACTGAATTACGTTACATAGTTTTAGTATCCATTCCTTATTTAAAAGATAAAATATCTTTTTCTGTCTTGAGAGTTAAGTTACAAATAGTTTTATTATAAGCAATTTCTTTTGTGATAATTCATGTGATGAAATATTTCATTTGGAATTTAAATTTACATTACAGTTCCAATCTGTTTTAAGATCCTATTTGTGTTAACAATTGACTGTTTTTACTGCTAAACTGTTACAAAGTAACTTGAATGTATAATGGTCATAATTTTAAAACAGTGTCCGAAATAACAATTTCTTTAATGTACTATGTCATATAATGTCAGCAAGAGTCAGCAAAAAGTAAGAAATTATATGCTGTTATGGACTTACATTACTTCAGTGCAGAACTTCACAATTTTTAATTTCTGGTGGGCAGTAGAACCAAGGAAAACTTTCACTTGTTCTATTATTTGTTCTTGCCAAACTCAGGCTTTGTAACATGCAGCTTTCGAACAGGCATAAATAACATCCTTGATCTTGATGGTCACATTCAGTGATGCTTGGATGGCGTAGGGCCAACCATGCACATGTTTGCATTCATGCCCACACATGTGTTCTGTACCTAGGCATGCAGATTTTAAACTACTTCTTGCCTGCTGAGACCTAAGGATCTATAAAAGCCTCTCCCTTTCTTCAATAATCACTGCTAACAGTGCAGTTATATTGGGATTTAGCCCCCATTGTGGAATGTTGTTGGCATGGTGAAGTTTGATGTATTTTCTGGCTACTACAGAATGTATAACGTACAATGCAAAACAGCCCAGCCCTTTTCCATGGTCATTCATAACTTTTTGGTCCATCAGCAGTGCCTGGGATTGCATCATTCCGTTTCATTTCTGGCACAAGTGATCATCTATATAACTCCAACAAGCAGTGGTGTCCTAGGGTGACGTTGATGGTGACGTACTCAGTGGCTTGTGACATGACATTATATTCCCTCTTTCTAATGTGATGGCCATGCAGAACCTGGGATGCTTCTTAAGAAGCTCTCTAATGGAAATCCAGAAGAACTCCCAATTGTTTCTTCCTTCTTTTTTCCAGTCTGGGCAAATTAATCACTGTTCTACACTGTTTGTAACCCAGGATCACTTGTCACCCATCCTCCTCTGTTGGTGTACAGTTGAAATGTCCCCTCCTCTTCTTCTCTCTATGCTCTGAACATTTTTTAAAAAACTATTTTATTAAATGTAGCACTGTGTCAGACAAGTGCTATGCCAGTTAACTCTGAACATCTAGTCACTGCTGTAGGTCCTCTTTCCCCCTCCCCCATATTTGCCTCTCTCAACACCCCAATGCCCAGTCCAGACAGTTCCCCCATCACTTCTTCCTTTTTTAACCTCTTCCAAGAGGTGGTGGAGTAGCATGAAGGGTGTGTGTCTCAGTGTGAATGGAGATGTGCTTGTGAGTTTTCAGCCAGCCCTGGACTATCTACAACAGCAGGGAAGGGAAAGCACAGGCACCATTATGGGGTGCTCTCTAGAAGGATTGTAGTGGTGAGTGATCAGTAAAGGGATAAAAGGAGAGGCAGGGAGAAGGCAAGGAAGAGTGTGGTATAAATGAAAGAGGAGGGTTTGAAGTGCAGTGGTGTGTGTGTGGTCTCTTACTTGAAACTACCCAGGATAAGTGAATACAATATATATATTTAAATCAAATCACAGATCTAATGTTACTCAAATAGCCTGATCTAACCTGGGTACCCTGAGTTAGTTATTTTCCTCTCATTAATAGCTGTGATCCTGGAAGGGATGGAATAGTATCTCCCTCCCACAGCCCCAGTGAACAGCATCTGGGGTCCTGGCACTTCCTTGTCACAAAAGATGTACAACAGTAGCAAACAGCACCTCCTCAACAGTCCTCTCCTCTGTGAATCCTCTTGCTCTTTTTATGTGGTTTTCAAATCAGAAACATCACCCCAAGATGTCTACTCAGTAGAAGGATTGCAATAGATAGAAACTATTTCTTCTGCAAAAGTCTTCTTAAGCCAGCAAAAATTCCCTTATGGCTGTGGAAACCCCTTATGGCTGTTGACTTCAAGAGTTAGCAGTCCGCAGAATTCTTCTAAGATCTGCTGGCATAAGAGACAAAAAAAAAAGAGTAGGGAGAAGGAGGTGCTGGATTCTTCCCCATCCACTCCAGCACAGGGATGCATATGAGCACAATGTTAAGCAGAGGTGAGTGTGGTCATAAATAATTTCCCCACAGCTATAGGCTGAAAGGCGCTGGAATTTAGCACAGTTTCAGCTGGCTCACAGCCATTTGGTTAGAATTATGCTGTTTCTAACTAATCCACAACACATGGGCATAAAGGTAATCAAAGTATAACTATCTTTAATACCAGTTTAAATGAACTGTGAGTCAGGCAACAGGGAAGTCTGGGAAACTGGAGAAAAATGCACAATTATGGCATTATCATGAAGTTTGTGATAAAAGAAGCACATCTAAATATTATTCAGAGAGGAAATTTGCCCTGATTTGAGTACAATTATTTTTCTGAATGGAAATTAATGGAGACACCATCTGTTGCATTCCATGATAGTTTTATGTTGAACTACTCAGACCCTTAATGTCCCAAAGGTTTGTCTCAATTATTTGTACAGCCACCATGGTTTTTATTTCTCCTGACTGCTGGCTGTGTAGATCCATATTAATAATGTCCTGGAAAAGCATATAGATCGCAAATTACACAAGGCCTACTCTCTTCATTGACTTTCTTGGATAAGTGAGCTCACAGTATACACTAGATTTAAAACAGAATTTGATATGACTGCGAATAATTCTTGTTATCTGGTGGTTATAGCGAGTGTAATAAGATACTCAGTGTGGTGCAGTGGATAGACTAATGGATTAGGACTCAGGAAACACAGGTTTGAATGGCTGCTTAGCCATAGAAAGTCACTTGCGATGTAGAACTAGTAAAACCATTCCTTAAATATCCCACTTACTTTGGAAGCCCTATCAGGGTCATTTTAAGTCAGTTCCAACTTGTTGGCACGTAAAACACACATACTGGGTGTATAGCTGTGATTTCTGGAAACTTTGTTGTGACTATTATTGCTGCAGTTCTTATCTCTTAAATCTGCCATCTTCTTTAAAAGCTACAGTTTCTACTTGTTGAATGTGTCCAATTGCAATGTGACTGTGTCCAGTTGTAATCATGGAGGGAAGACTTTGGTATTCTAACTCCACTGCAGTTGAATAGAGCTAGTTTTTGGAGCAACGTGTCTGTTTATAGAATATGTTTCCTAGGGAGAAATTTTGAGTTTGTTATCAAATTGTAGTGGCCAGATTTATGAGTGACTTTGTAGAATTTCTTTGAGCAAAGTTGTGCTGTCCTTAGAGATCCGACTACAGCTGGTTAGGAGCAGTTGGTCTGGTTTGTACAGTGAGTCCAAGGTTTTATATCTTAAGACTTTATGTGTGTTTCTGCATTAGGGAAATTTACCAAAGTGAAGAAGCTTTCAGTTAGAAATTTGTGTTTGTGTGTGTGTGTGTGTGCGTGTGCGTGTGAAAAACCTGCACTCCCTAAAAGCAAGGAAATTTAGATCATCCTCCCATCATTCAAAATGCGGTACATTCATGCACACACACACTTTCACTTCTCATGTTTACTTGACATAGAAATTGGGTCCACTCTTTGATTTACAAATGAACAAGTGACTCTTAATTAAGGCTGAAACCATTAAACACAATGAGATATAGATCAATTGCACTGCATTGGTAACTCTGAATACAACAGTGCTGCAAAATATGTTGCTTATAGATGTTGACACTATCAAAACCTGAATTTCATTTAAGCCCTTCTCAACCAGCAATGATACATTTTTAAGATACAGAGCTGTTGCCAGTGTCATTAAGCAACCATGGCATGTACTGGAGTCAGTAGTAGCAGGAGAAAGTGTGGGTGTATGCTCCCAATCCTAAAAATAAAGGTTTGTTTTGAGCGATGTAATGTCTCCGGTGTGCAGTAGTCTGTCTGTTAAAATTATGAGGAACTTTCAATCCAGCTTTATAGCACAAGTTGTCATATGTTATTGCAGCAGAGATTTTTGGGCAGAGTATATTCTGGCTACCTTCTGTCTCCCCCTTTATATCAACATGGGCAGTTTGTTATGGAGAGGATTGTTCATGAGAGTGAGAAAGAGACAGAGAGTGAGTCAGAGATACTTGAGACAAGAAGAGGAATACAAATGCTTTTATTAATAATTTTTATTACTGCTTTTTGACTTTGTGGAACAGTTCCAGGTACATGCTGAGTTTTAGACATGTACAGTGTAAAATAAATTTATTCAGTTCTCCAAAACAACAACAACAACAAAACCTCTGGTTTATGAATGTAGGATATTGTGCTTCTCTATCCATGATTCAGAAATCCAGTAAATGCCCCAAAATTGCTGCACAATATCATGCCCGTGTTGTCAGGAGGAAAAAGGATGCCAAGTTTTACATAGCAAAGGGCAGCCTGGATATTGACAACACCAATGGCAGCAATCAGGATGATCTACACAGGATGATCTACTCTCTTCTACTCATTACCATTCACAAAGTGACACAGTACAAGGGAAAATCCCAGAAGCTGACTTCTTCTTCTTCTTTTTTTTGTCAGTTAACTACTTCTCTCCCAAATACAATGCAATTGTCAGGGCTCTTCTTTAACATGTGAATGGTGGTTGGGACTAACCATTCTCTATCAAGTTAAGTAAGAAAGTTTGGTCTTTTAAATGTGTTAGATGTGTTTTAAACAAGAAGACAGAAAATGTTACCAATGTCTGCAGGAGTGGGGGTGGGGGCAGTTTGACCTTTTAAAAATCATAACTCGAAAGCCATTTGCCAAAATGTCCCCAAATTTGGCACACAGCAAAAGCAGACTGAGGTCCAGTTTCAAAGTTGTTGTTTTTTGGGGGGGAGTGATCCCGTTTTTTGAATTGATTTATAGAATGCTGATTTGCTCTGCTCACAATATCTGTTGCTGCAATAATATTGATGATTACTCAGTAGGTCAAATAAGATAAATTATTGATAACAATCCAGTCTCTCTTATGTCTTCATTAGATATACAATACTGTACATATTTCTTTCATTAGATTTTTTTTGCCCATGCATCATTCCATGTTTCATAAGACACAATATAGCTATAAAAGAGGAAGAAAAACCCTGAATAATTTCCATTCTTTCTTATTTTCTTTTCAAGATGGAGAATCTCTAGCCTGAATATGAAAGCCTCAATTTCTCTCTGATATTCATGCTGATGTAGCAGTATTTTCCTTACTCAGGTTAGTTCAGAGTTATAAACTAATCACTGGAATAACTATGTAAATTGAACTCCACAGACTCTTTCCTTATCCATCTATGATACCTATTGTCAGAGCATTTATGCAAACTTTTAAACTCTATTAGCCTTGTTAATAATGCAGTTATAATTTTGTATATCCTTACCATCATAACCATGTTTACTGGGTATATAAACATGTGACCTAAATGTTCTATTCTGTTCGTCTGTAGGAGATCGTAGCTGATGAAAGTTTACTCTAAGATACACCTGTTAATTTATTAATTAATCATGTTAATTATGGATTTATTCTAATCTATTAAAGCTCACACCAAAATAAATCTGTCAGTCTTATAGATGTTGTTTTTTATTACATGTGAAGTGATAAGATCATTTGATGTAATGAATTCCGTTCATAATGTAGCCTGTCCATAATACTCAAAGATAACAATGGCATTTACTTTACTCTTCTTGTAGAAATCCTGCAGTGAAACATTTAAGCACACAAAAGGGTAGCAAAGTCTAACGAGAATCAAAGATAGATTTCTACAACTAATAAAGAATGAGTCTACTTGTATATTTATTAACTATTTATTATGGGCTTCTGACTTCATTTTTAGAGATTTCAGTGAGGATTTAGTTGCAGCTTCATCAACCTGCAGGACAATAATTTTTTTGTGTGCTAATCTGGTTATTTTAAGACCGTCTGGCTTCATCAAAGAGCTTTTTATGTTTCAGAGTGCCGAGAAATGTATGATCATCTTCAGTGCTATTAAGTTTAATTTCACTGCCTGCTAGAAATCCAAGTCAGTTTTAAGACAATAATTTAAAATTATATTCAATGAAAAGAAAAAATGTGTTCCATAATTAGCTACTTATTTATGTGTTGGATAGAAGATATAATTAGAAATCGCAACTTGTAGCAAGAAGTAGGCTGCAATTCTGTGTCCATTTACCTCAGAGTAGATTCTTATGACAAATACAGCCATCACCACCCCATGTCCTTTATCTGTATTCAGAATCTCTCCATGTCATTATCTCTGAGACAGCAAGACATACCAGAAGTATCTCATTCATGTTTGATCAAAAGGGTTTTTAAAAATAAAATGCACAGGTTTTTTGACAGGAAAAAAGTAAGATAAAATTGTTCCGTGTGTTGCCTTTTCAAAAAACTTCCATGAACTAATCTACCCACCAACAGAGCAGGTACTGGAGTTCCACAACTCTGTGGGTTTATTTGCATATTATTTGCATATTATTTGCATAGGCATGTTGTGCAAATTAAATTATAAAGCACATACATTGCAATTAATTATTTTGTTATGTTTCTGTCACCATGTAACACCCTCAGCACAATCAGATTGGTGAAACAGAAGTGTGTAGAGAGCTGGATCCTGGAACAGGAGCTCCAGGATCAATGTTTCTGTCACCATGTAACACCCTCAGCAGAAGTGTGTAGAGAGCTGGAGCCTGGAACAGGAGCTCCAGGATCACAACCTGGTCCATCAGAAAGCTTACTGTGTGATTTTTGGCTAGTCACTACCACGTGGCCATGCAAATGGACTGTACCCATTGGGAGTATAATTTTTTAAAAAACATATATTATTACTGAATCACCGAAACAATACTATGAAAATACCCCAGGGAGTTTCCACAAGTGGCACATTACAATCCAGTTTAGAAGAAAATGCAGAGGAAAGTGAAAGAAAGAGGAGGAATTGCACTAAAAAAAGTGGTGATTTCATTCAGAGATACAGAGATAACATACTTATTTTTAACTAAAGCAGGTGTCTCAAAACTTTTCAGTATGAGGGCCACATCATATATTTTACACATTTTTGAGGGCCAAAGGAGGGAAGGAGGACCCAAATGATCACCCACACCCAAAGACAGTGGGGCTGAGGGATCGCTTGGGTCCCCCTTCCCTCGTCTTCCTATGCCCGGCCAGGAAGAAAAGTGAAGCCTGACTGAAGTGATCCCCTGCCCCCACTGTCTTTGCAAAGCCAGGAGGGGTGGGGGATCGCTCGGGTCCCTTTTCCCTCTTCTTCCTATGCCCAGGCTGAATAAAAAAGCAAGGTGGGCCAGATGTGGCCCGCTGGCCATAGTTTGGAGACCCCTGAACTTGTCATCGTAGTGTATGTAGTAATCATCTCATCTGTGTTGAGATACTTATGCTAGCATGCAAGTACGTCATTAATTACCGCACTGAAGGAAATGACACATTTGTACTTTTTGCATTTAAAATCATACTGATTACACCCTTCCACTGAGGCATGCATATAATAGTCTGTACATCAGATAAAGTGGGCTGCAGTCCAGAAGACTTTATGCCAAATAAAACACATTAGTCTTCAAGAGCCTGTGAAACTCTTCATTGTTTTAACTGCAACAGACCAAGATAGTTGAACATCCTTGAAAACATCAAACTCTCCTTCTCTCTCAGAATGTATGTGTGTATTTCTCATTACCTGTTCATAGTGCTCAGGTTTTCTGTGATGTATGTGTTTTATGATATTTTTTTTGGTCTTTATTCATACACCTTAGTGCTTCTGATCACCTTAGTCCAAGAAATTCTTAGCATAGATATATAAAACTTTTGCTAGGTGTATTACTAATAAATGCAGATCAAAACCTTGAATGTTGAGAGGAAGAAGATGTGAAAAAAGGAAATCCTCTGAAGAAAAATTTATATTTAGTGGTCACATTGTTAATAATAATAGATAGTACTAAAACACTGTGGCTAAAATCCTGTTGCTGGTGTTATGTAAGAGGCATAAATTAAAACAGCAAATTGCTGCAGGTTATGAGATCAGTGTAGACATTATTTGTTGTATTCATGAAGGATTTCACAGCTGGGATCTAACGGTTGTTGTGGGTTTTTCGGGCTCTTTGGGAGTGTTCTGAAGGTTGTTTTTCCTAACGTTTCGCCAGTCTCTGTGGCCGGCATCTTCAGAGGACAGCACTGTCCTCTGA